CATAACTGAATAGAGCTGCAACGATTAGTTGTTTAGTTGTCAACTATTAAAACCATCAGCAATATTTGTTTAATTTAATAAAAAATGTCCAAATTCTCTGATTTTAGCTTCTCCAATGTGAATATTTAGTCATCTATGACAGTAAACTGAATATCTTTGGGTTATTATTTTATCATTTTTCACCATTTTCTGACATGTTATGGACCAAATAACTAATTAACTAATTAATCAGGAAAATGGTCATCAGATTAATCAGTAATGACAGTAATAGTTAGTTGCAGACCTATAACTGTTATTTTCTTAGTCCCGCCCCTTTTTGGCCTGTGCTTCAATCAGTCAGAACCTCGCTAACTCTTTCCTGTACTGTAAAAGATAAAAGTGACATATCTTAGGTCACATGTTAAGTTAGGTAATGTTAACAATACACTGGCTAGCTGACAGTTGGTTGAATTAGCTAGGTAGCAAGCGTTAACATTAGCTGTGAGATGTAACTAGCTAGCTAATGAGAATGTACATTAGCTAGTTAGTTTACTAGCGTTTTGCTAACATTAGCTAACTTAAGATGTGACTGTCGCTTTTATCTCTTAACCATCATCAAAGTTTGGTTGTCTTTTCAACATAGAGTCTATAGGAGCTCAACTGTTACTGGAGCCCAGAGCCAAAAGGGGCAGCACTTAGGAAGCGTCCATTAGTATCATTGGTAACAGCAGTGTTTACCCTACTGTTTCATGTCCAAATGGCTGCTGTGAAAAAGTTCTATTGAAGAAACAAACAAAGCACTCCATGACTTGTTTGTGACTCCATACTGTCTGGTTAGGCCTGTAACACTGTCCCGTCTGTTTCCCAGTGGCAGCAGCACAGTGAAGGCAGCAGGAAACATTCTGGATGACATCGGCAACATGTTTGATGACCTTGCTGACCAGCTGGACGCTATGTTGGAGTGACATCCTGAAACTCACATGGACAGAGTTCCTCTCTTAAGACAGAGCGACAGACAAAAACAAATGGAGAGAAGCCAGCGAACAGGAGAGATGAACCTTTGATGTCGGTAAGAACAGAGACAGCGGAGGCCTCCACCTCCTCTGGACTCTGGATGACTCAGTAAGTGCACATTTGAGGATTTCCTGCACAACTTTTCCTCAATATTGCCCAGTTTATCAACGCGAGCACTTCGCCTTAGGACACACACCTGGGAATGTTATTGGAGCAACAACAAACAGCAGCTGCCAGATGTCTCTGTGTGTGTTCAGCATATTATCACTAAAGGGAATGAGGGTCCATTTTGTTCATGTTACCTGTAAATGTATAGACAAGTCTATGGTGGCACTGTGTACGTGTGTAGTCAGATATCTTTATACTGAGTATATTTATACTTCTATGTTTGTTTTTTAACAAATGGAGTTCTTATTGACTGGTGGAATCATTCTAGTGTATATTAGCATTACTGTTATATATTTTGCTGCTTATTGTCTATAACGAGGGGAAAATATTGTTTATTGTATTAAAAGCAGCATATTCCATATGTACTGTATGTACTAGATCTGATTTTACATGTTTTTACCAAAGTCTTTTATCCTCTTCAGGAGGCACATTAAGGGGTAACATCCTTTCTTTAAAGCATTATTGAGCTCAGACCACCTCCCACTCACAGTTTGGAGGGTTTTACAGCTCGCCTCAGGGTGCTATGAAGTGAATTTAATGTAAGGGTGCCGTTTCCAAAGAATGGGAGATGCTTTTGAACATTTCAACCGTGGTCTATTACAAAGCATTTCAAGTAGGGTCGTTCTGAAAGAGCCTAGTTCATTATTTTAAAGTGACTGAACACTGGAAGAGATTAGTCTGTATAGAGGAGTCTGGAGACTGCCACTGGAACAAGATGTTTGTTTAATAAGAATCAATTAATAGATTAACATTTTTAAAATGCTTTTGTAAATCTATGAATTAAAATAACATTTAAACAACACATTATAAAAGTCAAAGTAAAACCCAAGCTCGGTTCGCAGTGTGTGTGCGCAGTGTGTGTGTGCAGTGTGTGTGTGCGCTGTGAATCCCTGCGTAGTGTGCATGCTGAAGCCCTCAGTTTAAACATTTCCATTCTGTTATTGCTTGCGAAGACGTGTGAGCAGTGTGTCCCCTAAAAGGAGCTCTGATTGGCTACACTTCGGCCAACATATACCAGCTGGCCAGTCAGAGATCCAGCTGTTGGTTGGACTCGCTGCTTACATGTCTGTAATTAAAAGAGTCGTCTTTAAACTGATGCAATAATTAAATTAAAATTGTAACTGTCATTTTTTATATAATATTATTGGTAATTTAGAGACAGAATTAGAGAAAATAGAATTATTGTCTTTTTATTCTATAAGTTTTACAAAACATCAGTTAAGTTATTGCGGCACACTCCAGACTCCGTAGAGCAACAGGGACCTCCCGCTAATTTTGGGGTTAACTCTGGCTTTGTCCCTTTTTTTACGTAATTGAATAATAACTTTTTACTGTTGTAATGAATTACTTTGAATGAATTGGCCAACAGTTTCATTCTGTCTCATTGAATATGTGATAAAACCCAGCGTCTTCCACGTGCACAAGTTGGATCAATAAACCCAGAGTGAACAGGAGAGTTGTTCAGGATCGTCAGTGTTACAGCCGGTTTCTGTTTCAAAGGGACTGTAAGTTGAGTTTGGATTTACGGAACTGTTGTTTTCTTATTGTCCCTTAACTTGTCCCCAAAACTCTGAATTTGTTACATTTTACTTCTTCACTTTCATTTCTGTTCTTCTTTACACACCTTATAGAGTATTCACTGCACAAAAAGATGCTTTTATTCTTACTCTGACTCTGTCATTGACCCATGCCAAACACTTGCTGTGTGGTTGAATGTTTGTGAGCCATATTCTTGTTTTTGAGGCCAGTAAAGAAAAGCCATCTTTCAACCAACATCTGTCCTCACAAATGCACTCTGATTTTCTTTTAAACAGCACTCAAAGTTCTTCCCAAAGTTTTGCAGGGAGGAGATTTGGGTGCACTGTTACAAAATCAGGGTGTTAGCATGTTTTTAAGATTTAGATGTGTACGGCATTTTGACATAAAAACAAAGTTTTAGCACTATTGGTTCCTCTGTTCTATTCTGATGGTTGCCTGTTACTTTTTAATAATGTTTCAACTGAATTCTGTATCATCCTGAAAATCATTAAAAGGAGAATTTGTACTGAGGAAAGCAAAGGTGGGTTTTTAATGTGGTCAAATGGAAAGACATGATTGAGTGCAAGTTTTGGCCTGCCTGGCTTTCCATACATTTCCTCTAAAGCTTTATGAATCTACAGGTACAAGAGGAAAGACTGGAGGAAAATAAAAAAGGTCAAGAAATCAACATTACAACTTAATTTCATTTGATCCAAATGTTATATTTGTCAAGCTCAATACATTGTACAGCACAGAGCCAACATCAGTACAGCTGCATACTTTCACATGATAAAAGTGTCAAGTGTAGTCGATACTCGGACCAAACGGTGCAGCTTTGAATTCCTGCAAGCAGAATCAACACAACCTAGCAAGGAGCATCATTTCTCTCAGTCAGTCAAAATAAAATGTCTTCTTAAAATTATTTATTTGTGTATGTACAAATTGTATCGAGCAACATGAAAAAAATAATCTGTAATTTCCTTGAATCATATATCATGACAGAAACCCTGGAGGGAATGACAACTGGACAGACATGAAGTGTTTCCAGTAAGGCTACCAGAGCTTTCATCTCAATAAAAACTCAATAAAAGTCCCTTCAACCATCTTAAGATGATGTTGCTCAAACAGTGTCCCAACAGGAAAACAGATTGTCATGGAATGGTTATTCAGCATTGTTGATCCTGACATTCATTTAAACTGTTGATCTGCCAATAGGTTATATTTCCCTATGCCCCATTAGTCCTTACATGGTCCTTTTTATGTGAGAAACTGTACATTACTATTTTTTTTCTTTTTAACATTCTTTTTAATATATTAACATTCATTCCTGTGTGACTCCGGCATCATTTAAACATGAAAGAAAAGTGGCAAGACCCTAAATTAAAACAAATAAAATCATCATATAATACTGTTTAACAGGGGAGTTTATAATGTTCTAAATGAACACTGTGTCTTTGTCATTCAGTGTGGCAACGTAAAAACTAAAGCCAGAGGACAGACACAGGGCGGTACAGGCGGTCTGGGAGTGGTGGACCTGATGATGAAGATGAAGATGAAGACGATGTCGTTTACAAGTTGCTGAACAGTTCGTTCCTCTTGCTCCAGTCCATGGTCGGGGCTTTCTTGGCGGCTCGTTTCTGACGGGCTCTCTCTTTGGCCTGGGCCAGTGACATGCTCAGACCCAGGCCTCCGGCTGCTGGGGCCGGCTCCGGGGCCCTCTCAACCTGCACACACACACAGAGTACATTATTCTTGCCCTTTCAGAATATCAGGACTAATCCATACATTTGATTTACATGTCAGATAGTTTTGAGGACTATTACACTTTATACAGTGGATTAGCAAACTTTAAAGGTGACATGAGAACACGAGTACAGCAGCTAGCTGTTTGCTATGTAAACATACAGTGGAGTCATAGCGCTGTCCCTTTGCCTGTGTTGCTACTGGAGCCTCTCTGTGGTTTGTTGACAAAGCTAGGCTGGCCATGTGGGCGTGTTAAATGGTAAATGGACTGTACTTATACACCTTTCTAGTCTTTTCGATGCGCTGTGCACTACATGCCACACATTCATACACTGATGGCACTGACAGTTCACTACAAAGGAAACTACTCATTCACACACACTCACACACACCAATACACAGCATCAGGAGCAATTTGGGGTTCATTGTCTTGCTCAAGGACACTTGGACATGCAGCGTGAGGAGCCGAGGATCGACCGCCAACCTTCCGGTGGTGGTCGACCCGCTCTGCCTCTGTCAGTGCAGGAGAGTGACTGAAAGCGTTTCTATCATCTACATCAGTTTATTAAGGATCTGTTTGATCAAACCAGAGCTGGATTATCTGCAGGTAAAATCACTGGTTTTAATGGAGTCTGCTCAGGTGTTGCTCCGCTGGTTTGCTCGGAGATGCCGGCGCTTTAGTGCGAGATCTAGTGGCAGTGGATTTTATACAATGACCTTCAATAACCTGTCAGTAAAATCCAACCTCCCTCATTCAGCCTATGTGGATACCTTCAGCTTGGTCACGGCTCCCTCCTGCAGA